GGGAACAAAGAGCTTTAGAATGAATTTCATATTTCCCTTTAATCAAAGAGTTGAACAGTCCTGTAAAGCAGATTAGTCTTAGGCTTTCAAATTTTAATATACTTCTATCAGAGAGAAGAGTTGCTGTGACTAGTCATTCAGCAGAGCTATCAATGTGCAAATAAAGCAGAAAATAGAGACATCCTTAAGAAATAAGTCTCAAATTTGATATAAAGTGAAGGTGACAACCACAGCAATAGAACCATAAACTAAATGTTTCAATATCTTGAAGAATTATCTACAGTTCTTTTAAAACTGCAAAGAAGATAATAGTAGAATAATGTAGTGAGGTTGTCTGTTAAATAGACACTTACATTCCTGATGGCATAAGACCTCTCTTGCTACATTGCATTTCATTAAATCAATCCTGGCATTATGCTGCAATACATGAAAGTGTGCATAAACAACACAATTTGCAGAAATATATATTCATATAATCAACATAAGAAATTAAGGGTATAATTGCACATGGTATTAATCTTACCTCCTCCTCAAAAAAAAATAGGGAAAAAGATGATTAAAACTTCTGTTTCTCTCTACAGATAAATTAGCAAGGAAGACTGCTTACTCATTCTACTTGCATACAAACTGAGCATTCAACATACACAACTTCACCAGGTGATATTTTACTCACTGAACAAGGACACTGTCAGAGGATTACGACAGCAGCTCTTTGGAGAGGGGGGAATAATAGAGCACTTTTGAGCGGTAGCTAAAATTAACCCAGTGACAAATATCAGTGACACTGTACAGCTGAAAACTGATGAAAGTGCACACCTGTGTGGATTGAGCATGTAAAACTGTGTATGATCCTGGTGTGAAAACCCTTCGCCCTTATCAGAGTCAAACGGTACCGGATTTTTTTTTTTTTTTTTTAAGAAACACATATGGTTCAATGTCCCCATTTTTTTTTCCAAAGGAAAAATCCCCAAGACAAAACCCCATGCCAGTTACAATGAAGCGGAAGAGAGGTGTCCCTCCACGTCACGCCCCAGAGATTCATTTAACAGAGGCCGGGTTTTCCTCCATCAGTGAAATAAATGCATGTATTATGACAATGCAGAGAGGAGGGCGCATGGCTCCCCCCAACCAAATAACTGGACATTTGGTACCAGCGCTAGGGAGGGAGAAGGGAAGGAGCGAGACGTGTCCGGAGACCCCCCGCCCGGGATCACAAGCATCCCGAGGGCTCGCGCGGTGCCGTTAACAGAGGCCGGGTTTTCCTCCATCAGTGAAATAAATGCATGTATTATGACAATGCAGAGAGGAGGGCGCATGGCTCCCCCCAACCAAATAACTGGACATTTGGTACCAGCGCTAGGGAGGGAGAAGGGAAGGAGCGAGACGTGTCCGGAGACCCCCCGCCCGGGATCACAAGCATCCCGAGGGCTCGCGCGGTGCCGCGGCCGGGGCTACCGGGACGGCCCTCGTG